AACATCAATAGTAGGCAAATTACTGGAAGCAATCATTTCAAACTATTCGAAATCACCTGGAGAAGCACCGATTGATCAATGATTCCCAGCATGGCTTCACAAGCGGGCGTTCATGTCTAACTAATCTATTAACATTCTTTTCATCAGTTTTCAAATCGGTGGACGAGGGGCACATTTATGATGTGGTATATCTCGACTTTAGCAAAGCCTTCAACTGAGTCCCCCACGAAAGACTAATTAGAAAGGTAGAAGCACATGGCATCAAAGGTAATATCCTTAAATGGATTAGGGCGTGGTTACAGGACAGGAAACAGCGAGTGAGCATTAACGGCACTAAATCCCATTGGAGCAACATCACTAGTGGAGTTCCCCAAGGCTCAGTACTTGGACCATTATTATTTATTATATACATAAACGACATAGATATCGGCATAGACAGCAACATAAGTAAATTTGCTGATGACACTAAAATAGGACGTGTTATTAAATCTGACGAGGACTCCGCAAAACTACAGGAAGATCTAAAAAAAAATTTTGATTGGTCTGAAAAATGGCAGATGAAATTCAACGTGGACAAATGTAAAGTACTCAGTATAGGAGATGTAAACAGGGAAACCAGTTACCAGATGAACAACAATGCCATCGAGAAATCCGACTGCAAGAGAGATTTAGGAGTAATGATAAGTAGGAACCTTAAGCCAAGTATACAATGTGTTTTTGCTCGTAACAAGGCTAATAAAGTACTTGGGTTCATACAAATGAGTGTTAGTTACAAGACTAGCGAGGTCATCCTAAAACTGTATCTTGTGCATGTGAGACCACACCTGGATTACGCAGTTCAGTTCTGGTCACCGTATTACAGAACGGATATAGAATCCTTGGAAAGAATTCAGAGGAGAATGACAAGACTAATCCCGGGCATTAGGAACCTTGAGTACAGAGACAGGTTAAAGCATCTTAATTTGCACTCCCTCGAGAGACGTAGAGCGAGGGGCGACCTGATAGAGGTGTATAAATGGAAGTCAGGGCTAAACAAAGGGGACATTACAAAGGTACTCAAACTATCCAACCAGGAGCGAACTCGTAACAATGGTTTTAAATTAGACAAATTTACATTTAGGCGCGAAATAGGTAAACACTGGTTTGGAAACAGAGTAGTGGATGAATGGAACAAGTTACCAAATATCATCATTAACTCGAATACGCTGGATAGCTTCAAACATAGGTTGGATGAGCAATAGGGGTTGGGTGTAAGCAGGACTGCCCAGTATGGGCCAACAGGCCCGCTGCAGTTTCCTCCATTCTTATGGTCTTATGTTCTTATGGCAAAGCCAACTCCATAAATGTGGATTCTTTCCGCAGCAGGCTTACCTTACCAGAAGGTCTAGCCAGACTCCTGTTCTGTGAGCTGGCCCTCATCTGGGAGCTGAGACTCACTGATGGTTGCTATGTCGATGTTATACCTAGCCAGCTCTTTTGCCACAAGGGCAGTTCTTTCAGGATGCTTATTTGTGCCAGTATCCAGAAGGGTCCTGATATTCCATGCAGTGACCATGAGAGGTTGTATGGGATGTTTTTGTTAGGATCTGTGATTTTGACTGTATTTTCGACCTCATATGGATCACCTTACTGGGTGCGGTTGCCCCGTCAGATTGGGTTTTTAGGCAAACTATGTTTTGGGCATAGGGCACCTTTTCTAGCCACCTCCCCACGTGGGGTGAGCAGAATGGCTCCTTGAAAGGGCTGCTCAATCACACAGACAGAACCAGATTGCTCTGCTGCCTAGATCCAAGTGCATAAACGACCATCTTATCTGTGCTGCCCATGTGCAGAGTTGTGACTAGAGACTCCCGGCAGGACTTTTGGGGGTGTAGGTGTTTTGATGATGATTAGAAGTATGATGAGCTGGGTGATGGCTGCTCTTGAGTTGATTTATTTAGTGAGGCAGGAGCGCAGGCTGGAACCATACATCTTGGGTCTCCCTTTTCCTGATCCAGTGGTGCAAATGTTGCAACAACTGGGGAGAGGGAGAGTTGCAATGGGCTGCCGATAGCCCAGTTTGTTGGGTTTCACCTTGGTAGCCTGCCCATCAGGCATTGCCTTCGTCCTGCTGGTGTAGGCGTTGGGTTTCCATTGTGGTCACGTCTTTCACCTATACCAAAAGTTGGGGTCTTGTTGGAGCTCTGTAAGCATGTCGTCCTGATGCGGGGCTCCACTGCAGATTTTTCGTTTGGAGTTTACTAACGTTGCCTTATACCTACCAAGGTTAATCCGCAAGGCAGTGGGGCAATGGCTGGTAGGCGCCAGAACGTGTGCACATGCCAGTGGGCCTATGCGCCGTCCATCTGGAGCCCACTGCTACTCCGAGATTCCCTGCTGGTCTAGCCTGGGCCCATGAGGCACCCAGTTACAGTGTGTTGCCACGAGGAGGTACAGCAAGAGTCTTGATGGTGAGGAGGCTGTGTACTGGCAGGGGAAGACTTATGCAAGTTACTTCCCTGTTCACTACAAGGGCTAGCCAGCAGTGGCAGCTGAAAGCGAGAGGGAGCAAGCAGTGCTTGCACTTTAACTCTAATATAATGCTGCCACACGACACATTTCACCACCCTGTGTGCGACACACACACACACACACACACACACACACACACGGGAATTACTGGGTCTTATGACTTGAAGATGCCTTTTTTACTATCATATTTAACTCGCTACCATGCAGTCACACACAAGCAGATGTGTCTTAATTCCCTTGCTGGGGGTGTGAGAGTGGTGTGTGTGTGTGGTGGTTGTTGGAGGGTGTGTTTTTGTGTGATGTAGGGGTGTATGTGTGATGTGTAGGTGGTGTTGGTGTGTTGACGGAAGTGAACCTTTTTGGGGGATACGTTCTCTACCAAACGTTTCCAATAAAATATCCTTAAACGAAATATTTCTATATGATATACTGATGGGAATTCCATTCTTTTATAAAAGAAAATGTAAGAAATGTTGATAACGGAGTCAGTAAAATCAGTTCCAATTCTGTTACACTATTTTTTTATAAGAATAATCCTGAATACTTTATCTGAAAGTTTGGTTAAATAAATATATTTTAAAACCAAAAGCTCTACATGATACGGACGTGAATAGAGCTGTTACTTTTATCCTCCTCACCTTTGATCAGCTTGTTAGTCGCTTGGGTGATCGGTCACGTCTCTGTTACACACTTCACTCAATTGACTGTAATACATAACTAATCATGTCTTAACACTTGTGATGAAGGTTGGGTGGGAGATTATTGGGTCATGTTACTAACCTGACCTGATGCATGTCAGGTCACCCATTGTTGGGTGAGGGATTATTGGGTCTTATGACCTGAAGATGTCTTGAATAACATTATTTTTTACCTATGAGGTATATACATATTACTCTACTGTATTGTACATGAAGGGTACAGGTATTAATAAGTACAGATTATTACAGTAATGTATCTTTACTAATTAATGAAAAACAAATAAACAATATTGTATCATGAATGAGTCAGTACAGTAGACAAACAGTGAGGCGACCCTTTGGGGGAGGGGGTGGCTCAGTCACTTATACCCCCCAATGGATCCTTCAACCTCTTCTAGTTCACAACAAAAGGAGGAGAGATTAACGCTTATAAAATGCCACTGACTTGACCTAGGAGAATATAACTTGTATTGCTGGAACTTTTGTGAGGTAGCTATTAATTCGAGTATAAACATCCCTTATTTTGCACCACACACACATACACACACACACATACATACTCAACACACATACACACACACACACACAGGAATTAGTGGGTCGTATGACCTGAAGATGTCTTTTTTACAATCATATCCGCCACTTATCAGCTAACTAGCTGTTTGGGCAGTCTATCCAGTGTTCAAGGTCTGATGGAAGACACAGTGAGGCGACCCTTTGGGAGGGGGGTCAAGGTCACTTTTACCCCCCAGTGGACCCTTCTCCCTCCGGCTGGGAGGACGGAGGAGGTGGGTTGTTGACCGCCAGGAGGGGAGATTAACGCTTACACAAGGATTATGAAAGGCAGAGGGGTTTTATTTTTTGCTTATAAAATGTCACTGACTTGACTTAGGAGAATGTAACTTGCATTGGTGGAATTTTTGCAAGATAGCAATTAATCTGGGTATAAACATCACTTATTTTGAACCAGACATAATAATTTTAGTAATTAACTTAGTACATTTGAGTACAGGTTGTGATAATTTATGTTGTTGCTCAGAAGTTGTGGTTGCGGTTTCAAAGCTTTGTGACATCACTAGTGTATAATGAGTCACCACATGCCCTGGTTTATTCAATGATCAGTTGTCTAAGTGCAAAAGTAGCCCTGTCGAGCCATCATGTATCAATTAATTTTAAAATAAAAATTATAATGTAAAATTTTATAAGACAATGGTTTAGTAGCGCTGTTAATGTGTGTTTTGACATGTCACTTCACCACCTGACTCCTGAACAAATATTTCATCAACTTCTTCAAATCCTACAATGTGCTTGGCAAGCTCAAAAAACACACACACGCGCACGCACACACACACACACACACACACACACACACACACACACACACACACACACACACACACACACACACACACACACACACACACACACACACACACACACACACACACACACACACACACACACACACACACACACACACACACACACACACACACACACACACACACACACACACACACAGAGAGGCCATTTTGAGAACTTAACCCCCGTGAATTTGAAGGGCTTTCCTGTACAGCGCTCTCAAACTTCTTCAGATATAACAGTTTCTCAAATTTGAGTTAGAAAATATTTAATAATCTGTGCCTTTCTTTCATGTGTAGAATATTTATACTGTATATGGATTTTCTAACTACAACAACCTGAAGATAAATCTGATACTCTATACAAAAAATGGATGACACCCCAGTTTTCTGGAACTGATATATGGGTTTAATTATTCTTTTTAACCAGAAATGTAGTCACTGGTGAACACTACCGTTTTGTTAGTATGTGGATGGGTGGCAGCAATTACCTGGCAGCAGCATTTGTGATGGTGGTGTTTACCCTGAGTGTGTCTATGTTGCTGCGGTACTCCCACCACCAGATCTTCCTCTTCATTGTGGACCTTCTTCAGATGTTGGAACTCAATGTGGCCATCACTTTCCCTGCGGCACCCATGTTAACTGTGATTCTGGCTCTTGTTGGTGAGATATACTGTAAATATAGAATTGTGGGCATTCTCTTCTTCCTTGTAAAGTCCCTTGTAATCATTTGGTTTTAAAGTTAAAGTAAGAATATAGACAGTATTAAAAATCTTCAAATGAAAATATAAATTTGTTTAAATGTAAAAAAGTTGCCCTTACTATCAGCATCATTTCTAGATGGGGAAAAAATTGACTTTTATATTTGCTGTAAGATATTTGGGTGATATAGACATTAAGAATAAGTCTTAATGGAGACAGGAATGACATTGAAGACTCCTTACTTTATAAATTTGTTAGGAGTTTTAACTAGGATGAAATTGTGAAGGTAGTTGTTCTCAGTCATATTTCCTGCCTCTGCTAACGGCCGTGTAATGTGTCAATGTGATTTTGATCTTTAAAAATTTTGTTTTTGCATAATGTAGTATTACTGATAAGAAATTTGTCTTAAAATGCCTTATTGTGGGTAAAAATAAGTATATATTAAATGCATCTTCCGAAAGCGTGAATTTGCTACCAGAGTTTAACAGTTAATTCATGTATAATACTTCTGATAAACTTCCTAGTGCTTATGTTTGAAATAATGAATGTATGTATCTTATATAATTAAGCTAAATATCTTTCTCGTCAGAAACGGTCATCCCAACGATTATGAATAAACTCATTTAGAAATATATCATTATTTCAGGACAAAATTGGACAGGTTTGCAACAGCCAATCAGCTGTAAATTTTGAGGAGGGGGCGGGGCATCTTTCCTCAGCTGGGAAAAAATGTGCTATAGTGTTAAAGATGTTGAGACAAAAATACTGTACAGTAAGTCCTTGATATATGCAAGGGATACGTTCCTGAAAACCCTCACACTTCACATATATCGAATACTTAGTTAAATGGGAAAAAAATAGGATGAATTCCATAACCCCAAATGAAAATGTTCCAAACCCATTTTGAACACAATTTCAAGACAAATAAATCATAAAATAAACCAATACAATATTACTTATAAAATAATAGATAAAGCAAGTGTACAGTAAAGTGTACTTATCAATAAAAGCAGATACATCAGCATGGGTAGATTAGATGATGGAGGTGGTGGTAGAGGTTTTACATAGTGGGTGTTGGAGTGACATTTGCAAAGTCCTCTGGGTTGGAATCCATATCAGGGAGTGTGACATCTAGCATAAGGCTGAATTTTTGCTCACATTAATTGAATTCCTGGTAGGAATAGGATCTTCACATATGTTGAACTCACATATATCGAGGACTTACTGTACCAGAATTACATAATAGATGTTCGTGAGATTGAATCAATTTGATAGCCTAACGAGGGACAGCTATAGAATGTTTGACAAAATTTGTATGGTTTCTCATTCTGAACATGGGAGACCTGAAGATAGTATATAAAAGTTGAATAGTCAGGTGTTTTAGAAGAGAATATTTTTACAGGTATGGAAGCAATCATGTCTGAGTTCTTTAATGACACATCGACCGCCTTCTACATTATTGTGTTGGTGTGGGTTTGTGACCAGTATGAGGCCATCTGCTGTCACACAGCCATCACTCGCCGCCACTGGCTCCGCTTCTTCTACCTCTATCACTTTGCCTTCTATGCTTACCACTACCGGTTCAATGGCCAGGTAAGGACCATATTTGTGCTCTATTTTTTTTTATCTTTAAGAAATATGAAATAAAATAATGGTCTCAATGATCTGCATTTGTTTTTATCTCTAGTTCTATACAATTCAGATACACATTACTATGGAACATGTTTTATCTGTTATATACCAGTACCAGAAAAGCCCATTACAGTTGTGTTAGGTGTCCTCATGCCAACTTGCAGACAACCTTTCCTTATTCCCCCCCCCCCTTCCTGTCCATCCATTAATTTGCACTTTTATTAGTTTCTCCAAATATTTCCCATTCAAGTTATCTTATAGGAGTACAGTACTGTATTTTAAATGTGATTTGCAACATTTATGTCTTGCTGCCTTAATTGCTAAATATGAAAATAATTTGCAGCCTCAGATTCAGTAATTAGATTTAATCATCTCTTCATGCCACACCTTTAATCACCAGTCAAATTTCATCTCAGTTATCATGTGAAGAGCTTCATCTTATAATCCAAACTAAATTCCAACAAAAGTGTTTATTTTCTTTCAAATTTGTTTCAGTTGTGTCTTATCTTGACACCTCTCACACTTTGTCTTGATGGGTCAAGGGTTACACACACCCCAAGGAAGGGGGTTGGTACAAGAGAAGTTTAGAAAATGGCAAGAAAGGTACAGGCAGTCCCTGGGTTACATGCGAGTTCCGTTTCTATGGACATTCTTTAGTCAAACCACATACCATTGTGCATATCGTACTTACAGAACCATTTTTAAAATCCCACTACTGTATATCATAGCCTAAATCCTTATAAACATCTAAAATCACTTGATTTATGAGAAAAAATAGAATGACAAAATACAGTAAATGAAATTAGAAAAAATGAGTCATCGGGTAAATAAAATACTGCAAATTTAAAGTTTAACACTTACATTGAAACCTGAGGCTGGCTTCTCGCTTTTTTCTGAATCAAGGCTAAACTTACAGGCATATGCCGCTAATTTTGATCTTCCACTCATATCACTAACAATCTTACATTTCAGTAATCAATCCATTTCTTTGTTTTGTTTTCACAGTTGACTGCATTGGTGTAGATCCTTTTATATGTTCAAAATAATTTTTGTCTATATCTTTCAAAATTGTTCTGATCATTGACCGACTGAAGCCCAACGCTCTACCAATGAGTGACGGTGTTTCACCTCTTCAGAACATTTAATTATACCAACTTTCACTTCCATTGTAATTGTTTTCCTTTTCTTGGATGCACTACTATCACTCGCATCAAATTTGCGTTTGGAAGCCATGATGAGGACAGAAAAATACAGTTAATAAACAATAAAACAACACTTCGCACTTGGTCACACACACGTTAGCGAGGAGAGCGTAAGGTGTAATGATGCTACCACAAGGCACGTGACTGGTTGACGCTCCACTCCTCACACGCTGCTCCGCCATGCAAATTAATTTTCATACATTGCTACAAACGGTTGTACTTATATTGGAATCTTAAAATAAAATACTTTATGGGGACCTCGTTTATATCGGCGGCTGTCTTTAAGTCAGACATACATAACCCTGGGACCTCCTGTATAGGAAAACAAATAGGAATACCCTCACATATTTACTCATATCCTCAACTTCCATATACAGTATGCAGAGTGAAGCCTCAGCCTCCAACAGATCTTAATTTCTTTTTGTAGATGTCTACCAGTTCCATTGAAAGTACTGTACAGTACTTGCTTTTCCTGGTTAGCTTAATTTCATTCACCATAAGCACTCAAACTTACACTACTTATGTCAGAAGATTGTTACACTCCTAGGGGTTTAATTTTTTTATTGAGAATACTGCTGCAATATGACTGTTGAATGCTGACCAAAGTTGCTTTTTATTCGTGAGATATTATATAAATGTTGAGACAACTTAAACCAGATGATGGTATTACTGTATTACTACAACAAAAAGCACCTCGGTGAGAATTTTCTGATATTGACTCAGCATTATTATATGAAAGTGTTTAGAGTCTTTGTAAATTGACAGATGTTTTTTTTCTTCAGTATTCGTGGTTGGCCCTCATGACCTCCTGGCTCTTTATCTTGGTAAGTATTTGTCTGGCTGTGTTTGTGTTCGGAAAATACTTAAATTAGTATTAAGTATCATTATTTCTTTAGGACCCTTGTACGTTTTAATTAGGATGAAATAGAGGCAAAGGGCCTGAGAGTGAATGTGGCAAAAAAGAAAAGTATTGATTAATGGTACAGTAGAGTATATCAGAACCTGTAATTTATACAGGTAAATTGATTACAGGTACACCTTGACTTACGACCACCCGGACATACGACCGCCGCAGTCGTATAAAATATTTTTCAAATTGCGTATTTTCGAGTCCCGACATTAGTGATCGCGCTGTGTACTGACAAAATTTCGTTTGTAAATCCCTTTAAAATGGCTGGCAAGCATAAAAGTGAGAGTTCTCTTTGTGCTGAGAAGAAAAAGAGACACCCATTTTAGATTTTCTATGTATTATTTTCGCATTTTCGACTTACGACCAATTCTACTTACGACCTGGTCGTCATTTCCTAACTATGTCGTAAGTCGAGGACTGACTGTAGTGATGTGGGCGAGGGAAGTGTGGTGGAAAATGGCAATGAGTTGTCTGTAAGAAAGGTGTTGGTAGCGACTACTAATGTGCAATGAATGCAGGTGCAGTGGAGTAGATGGCCAGACTGCAGGATGCATATTATTTAAAGTGTTCTGTATGTGCAGGTAACCGTGTGTGTGTGTGTGTGCACGCATGATGTTGGGGTGTGTGGGTGGTGTTGGAGTGTGTGGTTGGCATTAGGGTGTGTGGGTGGCATTGGAGTGTGTGGGGGGTTTTGGTGTGTGTGGGTGGTGTTGGGGTTTGTGGGTGGTGTTGGAGTGTGTGCTTGGTGTTGGGGTGTGTGGGTGGTGTTGGGGTGTGTGGATAGTGATGGGGTGTGTGGATGGTGTTCGGGTGTATGTGTGGTGTTGGGGTGTGTGGATGGTGTTTGGGTGTATGTGTGGTGTTGGGATGTGTGGATAATGATGGGGTGTGTGGATGGTGTTCGGGTGTATGTGTGGTATTGGGGTGTCTGGGTGGTGTTGGGGTGTATGTGTAGTGTTAGAGTGTGTATGTGGTGGAGTGTGAGTGGCCCCCACAGGGTGGTGTAATGTGTCTAGTGTGGCAGCATTATGTTAGTGCTTAGTGCTAAGGTGCATTATGTTAGTGCTAAGGCTACCACCGCTGGTTAGCCCTCGTGGTGAACAGAGAAGCAACTTGCACTAGTCTTCACCTGCCAGTACACAGCCTCGTGTGCCCTGGTTAGACTAGCAGGGGATCGCGGAGCAGCAGTCAGCCCCAGAGGGACAGAGCATAGGCCCACTGGCATGTGGACACGTCCTGGCGCCTACCAACCACTGCCCCTAAGCCTTGCCGATTAACCCTGGGAGGTATAAGGCTACGGGAGTAAACCCCAAACAAAAAATCTGCAGTGGAGTCCTGCATCAGGCACACAGAGCTCCAATAAGACCCCAATGGCGTATAGGCGGAAGAGGTAACCAACATGGGAACCCAACGACTACACCGGCAGAGGAAGGCAATGCATGATGGACAGGCTACTATGGTGAAACCCGACAAACTGAGCTGTCGGCAGTCCATTGCAACTCTCCCTCTCCCCAGTTGTTGCAACTCTTGCGCTAATGGATCAGGAAAAGGGAAAGCCAAGATGTGTGGCTGCAACCTGCACTCCTGCCTCATGACAAATATCAACTCAGAGCAAATATCTTCCAGCTCATCATACTTCTCATTATCATCAAAACCCCTATGCGCCCAAAAGTCCTCTGATGATGGATGAGTGGCGACGGGGACAGGCAGAGATGACTGCCGGGAGTCTCTAGTCACAGCTCTGCACATGGGCGCCATAGATAAGATGGTTGTTTATGCACTGGGATCTAGGCAGCAGTGCAATCCAGTCCTGTCTATGTGACTGAGCAGCCCTCTCAGGAACCCACTCTGCTCACCCCACATGGTGAGGGGGCAAGAAAAGGTGCCTTAAATATAGCCTGCCTAAAGAACCAACCTGACTGGGTAACCTCACCCAATAAGGTTATCCTTATGCAGTCCGAAACACAATCATAATCACAGATCAAAACAAAAGCAAACTACTGTATACCACCTCTTATGGTCGCAGCATGGAATGTCAGGACCCTTCTGGATTCTGGCACAAATGAAATTCCTACAAGAAGAACCGCCCTTGTGGCAAAACGAGCTGGCTAGGTATAACATCAACATAACAGCCATTAGTGAGTCCCGGCTCCCAGACGAGGGTTGACCCACAGAAGGGGAGTCTGGCTTTACCTTCTTTTGGATGGGTAAGCCTGCTGCAAAGAGAAAACCCATTTATGGAGTTGGCTTTGCCATCTGCCATTACATCCTACATGACGCTCCGAGTCCCACTGAATCACTCAGGTCATGCCTTCTTCATCAGTGCATACGCCCCAACACTGGATGCAGAGGATATCAAGGAGGCCTTTTATACCAACCTTGACAGATTGATAACCTTTGTCCCCAGAAAGGATAAGGTTGTGCTCCTTGGTGACTTCAATGCCAGAGTTGGCAGAGATGCTGACATTTGGCAGGGAATCATAGGGAGAAATGGACTAGGCAAGTGTCATCTCAATGGCCTACTCCTCCTCAGCAAGTGTGCTGGACACAACCTCACTATCACCAATACCCTGTTTAGGTAGGCTGACAAGTTCAAAGGGTTTGTGGTAACACGCACGATCCGAACACTGGCATATCATTGACTACATCATTGTCAGAGAAAGAGATCCCCGAGATGTCCTCATCACCCGTGCCATACGCGGTTCAGACCACTGTGACACTGATCAGCGACTTGTCAGAGCCAAGCTTTCACTTCACGTTGCCCCCAAACAGCGAAGGCAACAAACCTCCAGAAGAGGTTTTAACACTAAGCGTCTGGAGGATCCAGCAGTAGCACATGCTTTCCGAGAGCAGCTCGAACATGTGCTAATAAACAACCCGACAACAAACAACCCAAATCCTAGTGCCGAATGGGATATGCTTGACACTGTCATGACAAAAACCAGCACAGAGACCCTCGACCAGATCAAAAGAATACACCAGGACCGGTTCGATGAAAATGGCCCAGAAATCGATGTACTCGTCGACGATATATGTGTTGCTTTTACTGACTGGCAGAACAACCCTCAGTCTCAAACCAAAGCTGATACCTTCTGCAAGAAGAAAGCGGCAGCCCAGCGGGAATTTCGCAATCTAAAGAATGGCTGGTTTAAAAATAAAGTGTGAAACGCAAAAGCTTCCAGATCAACACAAGTTGAGCAAATTTTTCAATTCCACTAAAATAGTTTATGGGCCAATCACTCGTAGCACAGCCCCCCTCCACTCATCCGACTGCAACTCCTTAATAAAAAACAAATAAGGCATCCTTCAGTGCTGGAAAGAACACTACCATTTGCTGCTCAATCAAAACACCGATGTGGGTGTCCTGACTACCCAGCAAGTCCCTCAGCATTCAGAGTTGACCCACCTCAGCTATCATCCAACTCTGGATGAGGTAGCTTACTGCCATCAAACAGATGAAAAATAACAAAGTCTCAGGATGTGATGAAATCCTAGCCGAGGTGAATAAAGCAGGAGGACTTCTCCACTCTCTCCTGGAGAATATATGGGAAAAGGAGGAAATCCCCCAAGTTCTTAAAGACGTCTCCATCGTCAGTATTTATAAGAACAAGGGAGACCGGTCAGACTGTGGCAACTACCATGATATCTCGCTGCTCTCTGTAGCTGGCAAGATTATCGCCCAAGTCCTCCTAAACAGACTTCTTCCTTAGTCAGAGAAATTCCTCCCATAATCTCAATTTGGCTTTAAACCATCATGTGGCACCACTGACATGATCTTTGTTGCTCCCCCGATATATGAAAAGTGCAGGGAAGCCTTCGGGCAGACCCCCAGCCGTTTTGGCTGCCCACCAAAATTCCTCACCATTATGAGGGAACTCCACGATGGCATGAACGGCAGCATCCTGCACAGTGGCACCCAATTTGTATTCTTTCCCACCCAAACGGGGATAATACAAGGATGTGTACTGGCACCAACACTCTTTTCCATTTTCTTAGTTGCCAGTGTCAATTTAGCCAGCAGGGTGGACATCCAGTATCGGATGAAGGGTCTTTTCAACATAAGACGACTCCAGGCAGCTTCCATTACTGAACTTAAGTATGCAGATGACCTCACCCATGTTGCTCACACTGAATGCGACCTACAGGAGATCCTGAACACCTAAGCAGTTGTGTATGCACTCTTCGGCCTTGAGGTGAATGTACATAAGATTCAGATTCTCTCTCAATCTGCCCCTGGTTCAGCAACATCTCCACCATCCATCCAGCTTAATGGTACTACCCTCTTTATTGTTACCCACTTTCGGTATTTCGGTTCCCACCTGTCCACCACCACAGACAGAGATTCAACATCGGATCAGATGTGCATCTCAAGCCTTTGGCAGACTCCATACCCATGTCTTCTGCTGTAGAGAGCTGAAATTATCTTCAAAGTTGCACGTATATTGAGCAGTGGACCTTGCCTCCCTGCTATATGGCAGTGAGACATGGGTCACATACAGGAGGCACCTCAAGGCACTTGAAAACTTTCATCAACGTAGTCTACGTTTCATCCTCTGAGTTCGCTGGGAAGACAAGAGAACAAATGGCATTATTCTCGCTGACATCAACTGGGGGAGCATTGAGGCTACCATTATCCATGAACAACTATGTTGGACTGACTATGTTACCCGCATGGACAACAGTAGACTGCCAAAGCAGCTACTTTACTGTCACCTAACGAATAGGAAACTTAACACTGGCAGGCTACTGAAAAGGTATAAGGATAGTCTTAAGGCAAACATGAAAAAGTGCCAAATCGACCCCCTCACCATAACGCTTGGAGGAGCACCACACGAGAAGGTGTCAATACCTTCTTGTTAGCCTGACTGCATACAGAGACAGACAAACGCTAACTCCGAATAGACACTGCCACTGCCTCTCCCGCACTAGATGTAGCTGTAAAGGCCTGGGAATTAGGGATAGAAATCCCTTACCAGACTAATCAGGTTCTTAATAAAGGAAAGTCAATGACCATGGTTTTCTGAGGAATAGCAAACAACCGTTTGAGATTGACATCTCTTTACTATAA